GCGGTGGAGGCGCGGCGGGTCCCAGTGGTGGCGCTGGGGCTGGGAGCTGGCGAGGTGGAGGCTTGTTTCCTGGAGACATTGAAATTGAGTTTCATCATGGTGGGCGTTCCAATCGGGGAGGCGGTTGGGGTGTTGGAGGAGGTGATGGGTCCGTTGAAGGTGTTGAAGGTGCCGGACAGGGGAGAAGGACGAGTGTTGTATTGGGTCGCTGATCTCGGTGGTGACATATCAGCGTGGCTGGGCTGATCGGATGCTGTTAGTTGCCGCGAGACATGAGGTGATATTCCACTTACATAGAGAACCGGCGTCACATCCATTGCTCTATTTTGATAGCCCTGTGCAGACGACGAGGAAGGCCGATCTCTCAGCTTCCTCAGAGACCCTCTCCTTCCATTGACGGCAACGAAAGTGGACATCTGGGCTCCATTGCTGCCTGTCCAAGCTTCTTCGACATCGTTCTTGACTACCGGATCAGGTTCGTATTCGGAATCGTCGTCGCTCTCTGCATTGGAGTCCTCGGAAGCTTCCACGGGCCCCAAGAGACCGTCATCTGGCTCATCTGGCTCATCACGGACGCGATCAACAACCGAAGTGGTGACGTCTCCTTCCAAAGCAATGCCGTGGTCAGCATCAAAACTTCTGATTGAACGGGCAAGCTGTTCCCAACCCAGAGCCTTGTCATGCGGCAATCCACGATCCGCAGCAGCTTTGCGGACGTCAGACATCAACTTCTCATATGCAACGTTCTCTTCATCCACTCTCTCAACCCTCTGTCTTGTATGTTGTGGAGCATTGCCAAATCCGGCAATGGGAGGAAAACCGAAGACCTGTTCCTGCTCAACCTGAGCCTTATGTTTCAGTCTTCGGAGAGGCTGCTGAGTGTCGTCAGAGCGTTCTGGCGCATACACCCAGCTCTGAGGGTCAATTTCGACAATTTCCTCATCATATTCATTGACAACACCAGTAAGCTTCCAGCCATCTCGATCTGCGAACGGCCTTGGAATCTCTGGATAAGAGAGACCCAGTTCTTTGGCCCTTTCAAATGTTGGGCCTTCAGCTAGTTGATCATATAATGCCGCGACGTGTTTGACCTGTTCATGGTTAAGATTGGCCACACTCGCAGGCAGCTGTTCCACAATACGGTTGAATTTTGCCATTTGTTCAGCAGTAGCAGACACGCGGAGTGATGGCTGGCAAGCATCGCCATGAGCAGTGGGTCTCGAGGATTTGGGAAGGGAGTGCGGTTGCTGCTGCAGATTCTGCTTTGCTGGTGCAAGCTGGACAGACCCGCTTGCGTGAGTCTCGGCAGCTCCGTTTTGCGCAGTTGCTCCCTGGTTCTCGAGCTCAGATTCATTGTCGGTCTCTTCCTGGCTTGCTAACAGAGCTGATTCGAGCAATGTCTTGATTAAGTCTTCGTTGGGCGTGATTTGGAGCGGTGCAGTCTGCTCTGACTGATACTGGTTGATCGATTGTGGTAGTCTCGCTAGCTCTGGCTCTGGGGAATGCGGCTCGCCCTCATCCTGAGCAGCTGAGACTGAGTCATGCCTAAGCTTGACACGCTTTTGTGGTGGTGCTGGTGCTGGTGGAGGTGAAGGAGAATTTGCGAATGACACAGACCCGCGAAGCTTTGACGGTCGACTCAGCTTGAGCACCTTGGATGGTGAAGCTCGAGGAGATGTCGAGGTACGAGTTCGTGGCCTCGTTGAAACCTCAGAGACGCTAAGCATCTTGGTGGTAGGCCTACGCTCACGAGGTGAGGCTCGAACTGGCGTTGGATTTGCGGCTCCAAAGGATCTATTGGAGTGCCGCGAGGACGCGGGTGTCGCTTTTTCAGTATTTTCGATGGTGTTATAGATGATGAATGGGCCGTTGGTGGTAGCAAAGAGTTTGGAATCTGCACCAGACGAGGTGCGGAGCACTTTGGAGTTACCTGAAGAGGAAGACCGAGAAAAGAGCTGTGCCAGAATCCTGTCGCTTCCCTCGAGGATTTGTCTGTTTTCTGCTAAGAGTGCAACAGCATCAAAGAAAGATTCAGGTGACAGTGATCCAGTCTCTAAGGCATGGATCAAGGCGTCGGCGGCAAGCTGGGAGGTGCGACTGACTTCTTTCTCCGCCAACGCAGGCAGCACATTCACCAAAAGAGTGCCAGCTGTTACCAAATTTGCATCTGACCCAAATGCCAAACCCGTAGCAGGAAAACACTTCCGGCTGAAACCAGCTTGGAATGGTTCTAACTTGGAGATCTCATCAGCAAATACCTTGGTCTGCCTGTTCATCAACCTGGTAAAGTCGTCTCTTATCCTCCTACGGATATATGAGTCTCTCTCGTCCGAAGGAGAAGGCTTCTCAATTTGACCGTTGCTTAACACAATAGGATTGGTCGAAGGGTTCGAGCCAAACTTCTTCTTAGCATCTAATTTGGCACGTGCAACTACATCGTTTTCCTTGTCTGCAGAGATCACACACGTAAGCCACCTTCTTCAGCAGATATACTATTCACTTACTCTTTGCCCAGTTTTCAAGTCTTTGCTTGATCTTGCGTTCCCTCTGCGCCTGTCGTCGGTCCTCCGCATCATCGCCTTCGTCAACTTCAGAAGCGTGACCAGAGGCTTGAAAAATCCCTGCAGGCGACGAAGACGCTGCAAGGGCTCCTGGGGATGATTCCCTAGATGAAGTGGATCCGCTTCTTTCCCGCCGAGCAGAGTCGATCTTCTGAATGACCCAGATCGCAATGCCCACTGGATGGTGGTCTGCAGGATAGTTGTGGAGGTTCAACGCAGAGGCCCGTTTTGTGTAGGCACTGCTTGTTAAGGTTCGAGGAGCTCGAGCGCCGCTGCTGCCCACCTCCATTGCCCTCTTTGGTCTCGCAGTATCTCGCTGCCTGCTGCTCGGGTACTGAGATATCTTTGTGCTGGCTGTCCGGAATCTTCCCATCCGCGCATCCATTGCGTTCTCTGTGTCTGACCCTGGATTCAACTTTCTTCGCTTCACGAGAGGTGCAGTGGCATTCATGTCTTCATTTCGAGATGCATCCCCCTCATGCTGTGAGATATTACGTGATGAGAAAGTGCGGCTATAGAATTTGGCGGAAGGTGATTGTGATCGAGTGCTTCGTGTCATTGGGGATTGGGTCGCCATGTTCAAGCGGGCAGATCACTATTTCCATATTAGCACATGCTGTGGACGTTTCCAGACCAAGCCTACCTACCTACCGGTCGCCTACGTGACGGAAGAGACTCAGAAACTATCAGAGTCTCCCACACATCTTATTGAACCATCTCCAGCTTGAGAAATTACCTCTCAAGCAGACGGGGTTTGAACAAGGCAGGAAACGAGGTCTAAGCAGTGGTAGGGAAGGGAATAGTTGTGGTCAGTGCAGAAACTAAATCAGTTTGCACACTTGATGCACTTTGTAGGCCATTCTAGCACCCTGTTTGTTGCATGGTGACAGTAAATAGAAGACTATGAATGTTTGAGGGTAGCGCAGTCGTGACTTAAATTCGATAAATGCCACTTTCCTCTTTGCGCAACCCGCCAGCGGAGAAGGAGCCGCCAGAGGCCTAAGGTACTCCGTATTTTCCAACCACTACTAGCTAGTCAATGCCGTGAATTTCACCATTTTAGCCCCCTCAGATACAGTATCTAGCTATTAGTATTCTAGCGAAGAAGCCAACGAAAGTTGGGTACAATTACTGGCGGCTCCAATTCACAACTCCAGGTGCAACTCCAGGTGCAACGAGGTGTGGTCCGCTAATTCGCACCATGGTCTACCTTTGGAGCCTGCTACCAACTGTGCTGGCTGTCTCAAATCTGGCCCTGTGTCGAGCATCATCATGGCATTTCAGCGATGCTACAGTGAGCGTACAAGGAAAAGGTGCTGGAGTAGGAGGGGGCCTCAAAGAGAAGTCTGCACATGCAACCGAGTCTGTGTTCTCAGCTAACACTTTCACCAGATTCGTAGAACATAAGCCTCTTTCAGCACCGGTCACACTAGGAGCGTCTGACTCCTTGAAAGTCGTGCTCACCATCCAGGATGGGAAGATGGCAAAAAGACCGCATCAAGCATTTTTACTCCTGAAAGATACCGACGCTGGCCTTGAGATTTCATATCCGTTCAACGTCAAGGAAAGTGGTAAAGCCAAGGTCGATCTTGTATGCCACCTTCTGAGACTCGTTAAATATCTTCTAACGATATCCAGACCCAGAAAGACCTGCCTTCTCAATTTCTCACGTCCTCGAAACCAGTCGAAGCACATCTGGTGCTCGGATCTTTTGGGTCCTCGCAAGGGTACAACGACCGCATCTTCTCCTTGAATATTGCTACCGACTCAAATAACCCCATCCCTACAACCGGAAAGCCTCTACGGTATGGAAAGCTGCCAGAAATCCACCACATCTTCAAGCCAAATCCAAGTAGCCCCAATATCGTTTTCAGTCTTCTTTTCACTGGTGCCGTGCTTACCACACTACCTGCTATTCTTGGAGTGGTAAGTTCTACCATCTGGCCTCATGTTGCAGCATCTGACCATCTTCATACAGTGGCTATACCTTGGCGCCAACGTCAACCATCTTTCCAAAGCGTTCCAGTCTGCGCCTATCTCACATACTATATTCTATGGCTCAATTATTGGCATCGAAGCCATATTCTTCCTATACTACACAAGCTGGAACTTGTTTAAGACGTTGCCGGTGCTTTTCGCGGCGGGGACTGTCACCTTCCTCAGTGGGAGCAGAGCATTGAGTGAAGTGCAGGAGCGAAGGCTTGCTGGCGAAAGATGAGATATCCTCAACGATGGACACCGCTTGCTCTCCTGCAATAAAAATATATTCATTTGTAGCGGTTGCAAAAAGACGGCTTTTTCTCCATGTTGGGTTATCCTAAGCCTTTCTCTACCAATGATAGGACTACTAGTAGGTCAAGTGATGTGGCGCGCCGTGTCCGATGAGATCTCGAGCTTCGGAATTGGATGATAGCATCGTTGAAAGAAACGTGCTGGAATGATGAGTATTGTTAAAGGCGGTGACATATTCCACGAAAACTCATGAGAATTGGGAAATTGCGTTGTTTGCCGCTTCGGATACCGTATCAGACTCCTTCATCTTTAGATCCTAAGCCTGTGAGGTCATCCGCACTCTCAAGTCCTTCTGTGCCTTGCAACTCCTATCGCACAGTCCACAAATTCTACGATGGGATCTTCATCATCCAAGGTGGCCAAGACAGCTTCTTCGACTGCGAGACGATATCCGGCAACCTCTTCGTTGGCCAAGTCTACAAGTGCACCTCCAATACAGCCGACCTCATCGGAACCTCTTCCAGGCCCTACTGTCCATCCGAGACCCTCCGCATCCACGTCGAGAGACAGAAACGTGGACCTTGATGCGCGAGACCCCGATTATGGCTCCCGTCTTTCCCAGCTTGGGCCTGTTCAGCCTCCTCGAACCCTGTCCAATTCCTCCACATTCGCGCCTACACCACAAGTCGTCAAGTCATCCTCTTCTTCCAGTTCCACCCGTTCGCCTTTTCAAGGCCAGCAAGTCTTTCCTTCGAGCTCTTCAAACCCCGAGCTGCTGATCGTGCAAGCGCGAGACCATTTTGCAAAGATCTTTGAAGAAGAATCCGAAAGCTTGGGGAGACAAAGCTTCAAAGGCCGGACACTTGTTAGTGCTGCAGAATTAAAAGCTGTGCTGAGCATGAGGGATGATGGCAGAAAACCACCAGGCGAGATCGAAAAGCAATTGAGACTTCGGCCAGGGATACTCGGAAGGCTAGGCCGACCGGGGCTGGTGGAAAATGCGTAATTGACAGAGTCTGGTTGAGGACTGCAACAATGAGGAGCCATACCATCGATGTGAAAGCTGATCCACATTGTCTTGCGCCGCCAAGGGGGCAGTGTTCTCAATGCCAAGGTCTGGCAGAAATTCGTGCTCAAGCGGTCGTAAGCACTCTTCAGACAGACTACGCCTTACTACTACAATCCTTCCCACATCCTTGAAAACGTATTTATTACTCAACAGACTCGGCTGATGGCATGCGTATACTTTTCGTAATACGCAACAGCCGGAAGAGTTCCTTGCGCAAATATGCCGGTCAGCTGCGGTGCACAGAAGACGGCCCTCGGCAAAGAGATTAGGAGAGTATGGCTCTTATAGTCGAGCCATATATCATCACGGGTACATCGCGGTGCTTAGGGAAGAAGACGGAAAATACGGCATGATCGCGTGCTTCAGCAAATGCTGCACATGTGATTTGGAAGCTTCGGCGAACCAGGCCAAATCAATTGTGCAACGTAGGCCTTGAGCCTCAATGTCGTTGAGGCAACATATGTACTCCCTGCAGATGTGGCTCGATGTGGAATTCTACAAAGTTCCATGCACATGCGATGAGAGAGAAGTTTATTCGGCTCACTGGCAAAATGATACTGCATTCTGCATGCCAGCCAAAGCACTGCGCATATGTGCTGTTGCCAGGATGATTGTTATGCTGCCAATGTTACCGCGCCCCAAATCCATCTGGGATGTTCTGTACGAGAATTGCTTGCCCAGCCTTTGCAATTCGAATGCCTCGTCAGCCGGTACTCTGTATATCCGTATATCCGTATATCCGAATATCCGAATATCCGAGGAGTGCAACCCTGCCACAGCAGAGCTGATTCTTGTCCGAAACTTATGCTCTGAGACACTGTGTAACGAGAAGTTTCCAGTGTTATGAAGGAAGCCTTCACAGCCTACATGCTCGTGGCGACGCTACATCGAAAACGGCATGAATGTGCTCCGTTCCCTAGGAGACTTTTAACTCCGTGACTTGCGGCACAGGGATTCGAGCACGTAAGCAGGGTTCGGCAAGTACTAGTAAGTAGTATGTAAATCTATTCTTGGCAGGCACCGTTGCCACCAATAACGTCACAGCGCCGGTGGACAGTGTGGCTGACACGCCAAGCCCGGGGCTGTCTGATGTCAGATGCAGGGTGCCACATAAGCAAACCAGGATTCTCTCAAACGATGCAGATGCAGATCTCATATTAATAACAACACATCACATCTGAGTAATCTCACCGCCATGTCACATCTCATCTCTTATATCGCCCGCAATCCCATATTTGCATCTCAGCACCATCAACTAAGCGTACTAAGCGTACTAAGCGTTATCAAGCATGAGAACACCAGTTGTCGCGTTAATCGCCCTTCACGCTCTTCTGGCGCAAGGCAAGTTAAACTCGTGTGATCGCCATCAGCACATCCCTAATTGGCGTCTACAGGACTCGCTTCAGATTCCACCGTCGCCTTTCCTCCGGCTGTCCGAAGAGCACTCCCCAATTCGCCGAATGGATATGCACCCACCCCGGTAACATGTCCTAGCGGTCAACAACCGGTCGTTCGCGATGCGTCTTCGCTATCACCAAACGAGACGGCATGGCTGGAGAGGCGAAGAGCCAATACCGTGGAACCCATGCGGGATCTTCTCAACAGACTTGAAATCGAAGGATTTGATGTCAACACTTTCCTTGACGGAAATGCGAACAACATATCAGCCCTACCAAATATCGCAATTGCCTTCTCAGGCGGCGGCTACAGGGCTCTGCTGAACGGCGCAGGTGTCATGGCCGCCTTTGACAGTCGCACGGAGAATGCGACAGCTCCAGGACACATAGGAGGCTTGCTGCAGTCAGCCACCTACGTGGCGGGTCTGAGCGGTGGCGGCTGGCTCACCGGCTCAATCTTCGTCAATAATTTCACCACGGTAACTGCATTGCGCGACGACACATCAGCGACGGTATGGAACTTTAACAGTTCAATCCTTGAGGGTCCGGAACAAGAAGGCATCCAGGTTCTCAACACGGCAGAATATTATCAGGATATTCTGGACAAAGTATCCGGCAAGGAGGATGCTGGATTTGAGACAACACTGACGGACTACTGGGGCCGCGCTCTCGCCTTCCAACTGGTCAATGCCACTGAAGGCGGCCCAGCCTATACATGGTCATCGATTGGTTTGATGGACGACTTCCAGAGTGGGAGTTATCCCATGCCCATCATCTTAGCTGACGAACGAGCTCCGGGTGAGACTCTGATCCCGCGAAACACGACCGTGTTCGAGTTCAACCCGTTTGAGATGGGTTCCTGGGACCCTACCACATTCGGGTTTGTCAATATGCAGTATCTTGGGTCCAACTTCAGCGGCGGTGTTGTCACCAACGATGCTGCGTGCGTGGTAGGGTTCGACAACGTGGGATTCATCATGGGCACTTCTTCCTCGCTCTTTAACACCATCGTCGCCCTAGCTGACTCGCCCGACCTTCCCCAACCCGTCCGAGACGTCCTCGCTCAGGCTTTGACCAGCGGGGGTTCCGAGAATGAAGATATTGCCGACTATCCGAATCCTTTCTTCGGATACAACAACGCTACCAACCCGTCAGCCAACTCAAGCACTCTGACCCTTGTAGATGGTGGTCTCGATTTCCAAAATATCCCACTTCACCCAGTCATCCAACCAGACCGAAATGTGGATGTCATCTTCGCTGTCGACTCCTCGGCAGACACGTCGTTCAACTACCCCAACGGCACCGCCCTCGTCGCAACCTACGAACGCAGTCAATCCGACATCTCCAACGGAACCGCATTCCCCTCCATTCCGGACGTCAACACAATGGTGAACCTCAATCTCAATCAGCGACCCACCTTCTTCGGCTGCAACTCCAGCAACATCACCAGCGACAACCCCGTCCCACTCATCGTCTACATCCCGCTCAGCCCCTACGTCCTATTCAGCAACGTCAGCACCTTCGATCCCTTGGCATTCAACGACACCTTTCGAAACGCCATCATCGAAAACGGGTATGACGTTGCGACCATGGGCAACGGCACCGTTGATGCGCAGTGGCCCACTTGTGTGGGATGCGCTGTCTTGAGCCGCAGTCTGGAGAGGACGGGGACACCGGTTCCTCAGGTGTGTGTCGAGTGTTTCCAAGCGTTCTGCTGGGATGGCACGCTCAACTCGACGGTGCCGGCGACTTACGAACCCACCTTGAGACTTGGTTCGCTTAACAGACCAAGCAGTGCTGCTTCGGGGACCAGGTGGCCCAACTCATTGCTACTTGCCACTTTAGCCACCACAGTAGCGTTGTTGGCTATGTTATAGTGATATACATCTTTATGGATTTGGCTAGGGTTCTTGCATGGTAGATGTACAGACTCCCTTGACTTTAAGTCAGCATCTCTCCACACTTTGTGAGATTTGGGGTCAGCAATGCGCAGGTTGGCGTCTCTTATTTACGTTCAGGCATCAAAACGATCAGATCTGGGCTGTTTCTTTGATAAATTCCAATGCTTCAATGACCTGTGCTTGTTAGCGACCCCTCGACCCCGTTCTGCACGCTGGAACCGGCTCATCGTCTTACCTTTTCATCATCGAACCGTCTCCCAACCAGCTGCAGTGAAACGGGGGCGTCCACATATTTGTCCAGTGCATCTGTGCGAATATCAGCACGACAATAGTAGGACAAAGGAAGCCACAGGTCAGAACGAACAAAGCTCGTAATTCCATCTATCCTGGTCGTTCATCGGGTCATAGTCCCTCTCAACAACGTCTTTGTCCTGATCAACCGTCGAGACAGGAAATACCAAAGCGGGATAATCGAGTAGATTCCACTGTGCCGTGTACCCCCAATATCGTGCATGATCTAGTGGTGGCGCTGCTCCAGGACCGACCGGACAGAGAATGACATCAACAACCGTGTCTGGATCACCATCGACAGCCGTCTCGTTCCACAGCTGAGCATACTCCACCCGGTACTTTTCCCGTTGTAATGTCAGATTCCATACTTCCGGCACAGTCAGCTCCTTGCAATACTTGTTCTCCGTGATGATGAAATGGGAGAGGGGCCTCCATGGCTCGCCGCTGGCTGCTATTGCTTCTTTCACTTCTTTGGCGCCGTCTGCGAAGTAGAGGGATGCGATAATCTCCCAGGCCAGATCGTGCTTGTATGGTTTCCAGTCGACGATCTCGATGTCAGGTACGGTGTTCAGTTTCTCCACGACTTCTTTGAGTGCCCTTGTGATTGGAGGATGTGGCTTCACTACTCCATCGTTCCACAGGACCCCAACCTTCAACGTTTTCTTGCCATTCTTCGCACCAAATCTCGCCTGATCATTCGTTCGCCAAGGAACGGGCACCAAACTCGGCTCTTTCAACCATGGCTTTTGATCAATAATCGTCCTCATAAACAACTTACAACCCTCCAGCGTTGTGCTCAACGGCCCCATCACGGGCAAAACATGCTCCTGGCCCATCATCGTCGCTGCGAATCCCGAAAGCGGTAACCTCCCACTTGTCGGCCTGAGTCCATAGACCCCATTATTCGCGGCTGGGGAGCGAATACTACCCCCAATATCCGACCCAATTCCCAGACAGCTGCCTCGCATTCCCAGCAGAGCGCCTTCACCGCCTGAGCTGCCTCCAGAAGTCAGGCTTCTATTGTACGGATTCACAGTCTCGCCGTAAAAATTGTTCGACGTCTCCAGATGCATCAGCGTCTGTGGCTGCGTGGTGCGAGCGTAGAAAACACAACCGGCGTTCCAGAGTAGCTGGAGGGAATGCGCATCTTCCGGTGCGGTGCGGTCCCACCACGACACGAACCCCGCGTTCTGTCCGAGCCCTTGCATGCCGGCATGTTCTTTGACGCTGATGGGCAGGCCGTGGAGGGGTCCGACGGGGGTCTTGTGGATGGAGAGGTAGGAGTCTAGGTATGCGGCGCGGGCGAGGGCGCGGGAGGGGAGAAGCTCGGTGATGCAATTCGTCTGGGAGTTTCCAGAGTCAGTAGGCAGCAGTCAAGTCTATTGTGGAGCGGAGGATCAGATACCAGTTTTTGAGCAATCCCTGCGCGGCGGAGAAAGGCATTGGTCACTTCTGTACTTGTTAGCTTGCCAGATGCGAGCGACTGGACCAGTTTCTCCGGGCTGGTCTCTGTGAGCTCGATCTCGAACGACGAGAGATGTTTCCATGGAATCGCCGTCACATTCAGTGGCAGATCTTCCGACCGGATCTCGGGCAATGGAGGCTTCACCTCAGCGAGTGACTGGTCTCGATGCTCTCGAGCTGCTCGCGCAATCTCTTGCCATGTCTTGGACGCCATTTGCTAGAACGGCAAGGTGTGAGTCCGGGCGGTGTAGAGAAATCGTTTCCCTGTTGCGTCCTCACCTGGATTGGGTGATGCGAATAATGGCAGATGCCAACAAAGCGGCAGCTGGAGGTTGCACACACTTGGAGTATGGGACTGCAAGATACTTAGCTTATCTTGTGTTACTTCAACTGTTGGGCCGAAGGGCTGTTAGGCAACCTATCTATGGCTGGAGGAGGCCCCGAGACCCTTGCTGGTGCTGACTCGAATATTAACACAGCATCTTTACACGCCTGGCCACTCCACCGTCTCCATCGAGGCACGGGGATGGGTCATGGGTAAAGACTTTTTGTGATATGAATTATATTGCTATTGCTATTGCTATTACTAGTACTAGTACTATTACTAGTTAGCTAGGAGCTCAGCGTGCTGGTAGTCCAGGCATGTCGCACCTTGTCCAAGGCTGGTTTCTCCTCCCGAGCCGCCCCCGTAATGAATTACTAGTACCTAGATAGGCAGTTCTTTGCGGGCCCGAAGGCCTTCTTTGTTCCCCACTTCGACTTGCAGCCCGTTGAAAGAAAGCTCCAGCTTACCCTGCAATTACCCCTCATCAACCTGGAGAGGATAGAGGATCACCAGTCCTCTCGTACGCTCTATTTAGATCAGAAGCTCCAAGTTCTGAGGATCAAAGCCTGTATGTTCCTTTCCTCTCGTCTCTCCCCTCTAAGAAACTCATTTCTCACAAAACGCCTATACACCTCTTCCACATCCATACCCAAGACACATCTCCTCCATCACCCCAAGAACAGACCCCTCAACATCTCCCTCTCCCTCTTCCCCTCGCCCTCCCCCTCTTCCTCCTCCTCATCCAAAATGTCCGACCTGAAAATTCACCTGACCGCCCCGAACGGCCAAAAATTCACCCTCCCTACCGGCCTCTTCATCAACAACGAATTCGTCAAATCCTCGTCCAACCAACTAATCACCTCCATCAACCCAACCGACGAATCCGAAATCTGCTCCGTCCACGCCGCGTCCGCCTCGCCGGCTCTG